ATTAGATTATTGATCAGCTAGCTCATTCAAGTACTTCTCTCAAGGTTTGTTATAATCGAGTCAAAATTTGATTGATGTAGCACGTGCTGGAGCACTTGTGAATAAAACTCCCATATAAGTGGAAGGATTGATATCAACGGTGGTCGGCAACACCAAATAGTTTGGTATTCAACAAGAACCACCAATAAGAAAAGTTAATGAGGTAAGTATTAATTCCATTGAACAAAGACTTGCTAATCTTGCCTCAATTATGCGAAATGGTTGTAGGGAACCACCAATAGGTCAATGCATATGGGATTTATTCGGACATGAATCATTTAACTAATACATGTCCTACACTTTAAGAAAGCTCTAAAAAACATGCTAATGCTATAGGAGGATTTCAAGGTCGGTCTCAAAGAAGGTATGATCCATATGCCCCAAATTACAATCTTAGATAGTCATCCAAATTTCAACTATGGATAGAAGCCAAACCATTTCCAATAATCCATGTATCGGCCAAGGCAAACAACCCCTACACCTCAACATCCTCCTTCGACATCAAGTACCTCTCTAGAAAAAATTATTATTGTTCTTGCTAACAATTATAATCAATTCCAACAAGACACGAAGGCCAACATACAAAAATTAGAAAATCAAATAAGCTAATTGGCTACAGTAGTGGGAAAATTAGAATCTCAAGGTTACGGAAAACTACCTTCTCAAACAAGTGGTGAGTCCAAATCAAAATGCTAGTGCCATTACACTATAAAGTGGAAAGGAGTTGAAAGAACTAGTAAAGAAAGTCCCGAAGTACGTTATGAAAGAGGAAACCAAGATAGAAGCTATAAAAAATGACTCACAACAGTAGATAAATGGTGAGTCGCCCAAAAATGTGGTAATTCCTCCACCTTTTCCAAGATGCGTTGCAAAATCTAAAAAGGAATAACAAGATAAGGACATCGGGATGTGTTTCAAAAAATTAAAGTAAATATTCCCTTTTTGGATGTTAGAAAACAAGTACCTAGATATGCAAAGTTCCTTAAGAAATTATGCACCACAAAAAGAAAACTCAAAGGTGATGAGAAAATCCATATAGGAGAAAATGTGCCTACTCGTCCTCCAAAAGAAGTTACCCTCAAAATGCAAAGACCCAAGTATGTTCACCATTCCATGCAAAATTGGTAATATGAAAATTGAAAAAGCTTTGATAGACTTAGAAGCTTCAATAAATGTTATGCCTAGCTCAATATATCACTCTTTGAATGTTGGACCATTAAAAGAAACAGTATGATCATACAATTAGCTGATAAGTCTATTGCATATCCTAAAAGAGTCTTAGAAGATGTTCTTATGCAAGTAAATGAGTTGGTATTTCCTGTAGATTTCTATGTGTTAGATATGGAAGAGGGTAATTCTTCTAAATCTGTCATAATTTTATTAGAAAAACCTTTTTTTAAAATATCTAGAGCAATACTTGATGTTTCAAAAGGTATTCTTGCTATGGAATTCGATGGTGCAATAATTAGATTCAATATATATGATAATATACGATTTCCCGAGTGAGATAAATCCTGTTTATGTTATTGATGTGATTGACTCTTTAGCAAAATAGGTTTTTAAACTGACGAATTTAGATGATTTAAAGGTTGTTATCAATGAGAATGTTAGTCCTAAGGAGCTAAAGAAATTTGAGCAAAAATTTATGATACATGAGGAACTCGAAAGATGTAATTTTTGGGCTAGAAGCACTCAAAAATCTCAAGTATAATGTCTCTTTCATTGAACATCTAGTATCTCACACTAAGCTTTTTCCATCAATTTTACAAGCTCCAAAGTTGGAATTAAAAGCTTTACCAAGTCACTTGAAGTACCCATTTTTAGGTGATGATCAAACCTTTCCAAGTGATAATTTCCAGCAAACTTACCATTCTTGAAGAAGAAAAGTTGATTAAAGTGCTAAAAGACCACAAAGAAGCAATCGGATGGACAATTACAAACATTAAGGGAATCTGTCCCTCCACTTGTATGAACCGTATCCTGCTAGAAGAAGATTGTAAGCCTTTTAGAGAAGCTCAATGCGGACTTAATCCACGAGTAATTAGGTAAGTTCGGTTCAAGTTGTGCTTAAAAAGATTGGTTTTACGATGATTGAAAACAACGATGGTGAGTAATCCCCACTCAAGTTTAAAATGGATGGCGAGTCTATATAGACTATAGGAAGTTGAATGCTTCCACTAGGAAAGATCATTTTTCATTGTCATTTATTGATCAAATGCTTGAAAGACTGGCTGGATGTTCTCGCTATTGTTGTCTAGATGGATATACGAGTTTTAATCAAATACAAGTAGCACTGAAGACCATTTACATGCCCTTTTGGAACATTGGCTTTTCGTCGTAAGTCGTTCGGTTTGTGCAACGCACTAGCCACTTTTTCAAAGGTGTATGGTCGGTATTTTTTTTAAATTATATAGAGAATTTCATAGAGGTATTTATGGACGACTTTACTCGTTTATGGAAATTCATTTGATACATGTCCGAATAATGCGGTAAAAGTATTGAAACGTTGTATTGAAACAAACCTTGGATTAAATTATGAAAAATATCATTTCATGATTGATCAAGGTTTAATTTTGGGTCATATGGTGTCTTCAAAGGGAATAGAAGTTGATAAATCGAAGATTGATCTCATTAAGTCATTACCATATCCTACATGTGCATGGGAAGTACGTTCCTTTCTTGGTCATGCAGGATTTTACAAACGGTTCATCAAAGACTTCTCCAAGATTGCTTATCCACTTTGCCAATTATAGCAGAAAGATGTTCTTTATGAATTCAATGAAGATTGCAAGGTAGCTTTTGATCATTTAAAGGAGCTATTAACTTCGACCTCTATCATTCAACCACCAAATTGGGATATTCCATTTGAAATATCGTGTGATGCTAGCAACTATGTAGTTAGTACTATCCTTGGTTAAAAAATTAGAAAAACTACTCATGCCATCTACTATGCATCGAAAACTCTTGATAACACTCGACGTAATTATTCCACTACGAAAAAGAATTATTTGTCTGTTATATTTGCTCTAGAGAAAATTTATTAGGTACTAAAGTTGTTGTTTATTCGATCATGAAACTTTGAAGTATCTCCTCAAAAAGAAAGAAGCCAAATCGAGATTAATATGGATTCTTTTATTACAAGAATTTGATTTGAAGATTCTGGATAAGAAAGGAATAGAAAATTCGGTTGCGGACCATTTAAGTAGATTGGTGATTAGTGAAGACCTTATACCTCTACAAGACTTTTTTCCATATGAATATCTTTTCAACTTACAAAATTCAACACCATATTATGTAGATATAGTTAACTTTTTGGTCACTAGAACTTTTCCTAAGGACTTGTCTAGAGTACAAAAAGATAAAATTATGAGTGATTCTAAATATTATGTTTGGGATTACCCATATTTATAGATGCATTTTTCCGACCAAGTAAATCATAGGTGTGTTTATGAAAGTAAAATCTCATCCATTCTTAAATTCTTTCATTCATATGCATGTGGTGGTCACTTTAGTCCAAAGAGAACATCACATAAGGTCTTAGAATGTGGTTTGTTTTTGCCTACTCTATTTCGTGATGCATACGTGTTTTGTAAGTCATGTGCTAATTGTCAAAGAGTGGTAATTTAGGACACAGAGACCAAATGCCCCTTACCCCTATATTATTATGTAAAGTTTTTTATATATAGGGTATAGATTTTATGGGTTCATTCCCACATTCTTTTGGTAATCCGTATATCATATTAGTTATGGATTATGTTTCAAAATGGATAGAAGCTAAAGCCACAAGGATTAATGATGCTAAGATTGACATTTTTGTCGGGTATGGCACATCGAAAGCTATAATCGATGATCAAGACACTCATTTTTGCAATCATGTGATAATAGCATTATTGAAGAAATACAATGTCACTCATAAAATTTCAACTGCCTATCATCCACGGACAAATGGTCAAGGTGAAGTCTCGAATAGAGATATTAAATCGATACTTGAGAAGATTATTAATCCAAATAGGAAAGATTAGAGTGCAAGCCTTGATGATGTCTTGTGGGCATACTGCACGAGCATACAAAACTCCTATAGGTATGTCTTTATATTGATTAATATTTTTGGATGATGTTGGGGACCATAGAAAATTACAATTGCAAGAATTGAAAGAAATTAGAAATGATGCTTATGAGAATTCTAGAATTTATAAGGTGAACAAAGATTTTTCATGATAAAATGATTTTCAAAAAAAAAAATTTTCTATTGGTCAAAAAGTTCTCCTATATCATTCTAAACTTAAACTATTTCTTAGAAAACTAAGGTCTCACTGGATTGATCCATTTGTTGTTATTCATATCTTCTATCATGTTGCAATGGAAATTTAGAGTATTTCAACTAACAAAATCTTCAAGGATCATAGACATCGTCTCAAACCTTATTATGAAGAATTTTTCGATTTCCAACACGGAAAAAATAGTTCTAGAACTTTCAAATTATGAAGAGTGATTAGTGAGTATGTCTAGACAAAGACGTTAAAGAAAGATGCTGATTGGGAGGTAACCCAACAAAAACAAAAAGAAAAAAGAAAAAAGAAAAAAATAGTATTTTCTTTGATTTTTTGAATTTTTCTTATTTAATGACTTTTTATTTATTTTTAGTTCGAAGGAAAAATGTTAGCAGTAGTAGCTATTTCATTTGGGGAATGCTTTCAGGATTTACCAGTAGAGAATTGTCATTGAGAAGCAAGAGGCACACAATTTCTTTTGGACGAGCCCATCCTTACCTTTTAAATATAACAGGCTTCTTCAACCTCTATTCTGATGTTTTTGGACATCTGAAATCTTTGGGTAAAAGTTTTGGTAAATCTAGAATGCTTTACAGGTCTCATGGTAAAAATGGATGAATAGTTACTTTTCTTTTATTTATCCCTTCCCTTTAGTTTTCACTATTTACTTGTGTTACCCTTTCTTTTATTTTACTCATCGTCGTCGCTGCTGCTGCTCCATGATTCAACCACTAGGGATCTCTCTCCATCCCCACTGCTGCTGCTCCGTGACTCAACCACCAAGGATCTCATTCCATCGCACCCATCAGTAGCCACACGAGGAATTGATGGTACTGTGACTATAGTTCATTATAAAAGTGTAGCTAGGAAAAAGAAAGTGGAAGTACAGATTGAACCACCTATATTAAGACATAAAATGGACAAGGGTAAGTGTGTGTGTTTCCTCATTTAGAAAATCGAATGGGTGATAATGTCAAATTTACAAAGAAAAAGCACTAAGACAGATATGCTATTCTTTTGACCCGCAAGATAGTTCCTTGCAAGTATATTGAAAATCATGCGGTTGCTACTCTACCTTTGGCTTATTATCGATTTCTGGTTATGAATTTGGGATAGGACACTTATTTATCTATTCATTATCCTGCATATTATGAACTAACCATAAAGTTTTATGCCACTTATGAGTTCAAGTATACCAAAGACATAACTACAGACACTCTTAGGGTTATTAAATTTAGGATGCTTGGTGTTAATTATGCTTTTTCTTTGACTGAGTTCAATTTGACTTGTCGGTTTATTTCCCATGAATATACCCACTCTATTAAATATGAGGAAGCACCATGTGACTTACTTGATAATTTTGACCCTGCCACATCTTGACAATTACTCTCTTCAGATACTAGACCTTATCATGCAAGTATTTCTCGCTTTACTTATCTGCATTCACCAGATTTGCATTACATTCACTGGTTCTTATATATTTCCTTTTTTGGTACCAATGATGACTCTTTTAGACTGTGTAAGACTGAACTCTTCTTCTTATTTTGCATGGAACATAGTATCAAGATCAATCTTGTAGCTTGGTTGGGTAGGCAATTCCTTTTTATAGCTAAAAACAGGAGAGGACATTTGGGCTTAGGTTCAATTATCACTTTTATCGTTATCAAATTTGGTGTTTTGGACATGAAAAATACTAACATGCACATTGCTTGTGAGATGGAACCCTTGGACTTTGATTGTTTACACAGGATGGGAGTTGTCTCTAAAGATAAAAAAGGGCACTACCATATAGCTCTACCTGGACCAGGCCTTGTGCCTCGGATAACTCATTCCAAGTGTAGTAGACCTACTGCTATAGGCTTTGATGAGGAGGCCGATCCTTCCAACACCTCAGTTTCACTAGCACAATTGAAAGAGCAGTGGGACCTCATGGAGAAGAATTTGATGGCTTACTTTGCTTATGTTGGATTTAGTCCTCCTTATCCACCCCCAACTTAGACTGCTTCACAACCGTTGAAGGCTCATTTAAGGGAAGTTTACGAAACACTTCTATTCCCTGATTATTTTTAACTTTTTGTCTTTTAATGAGCATCATTTCATTTTCCATACATTGAGGACAATGTATATGATAGGTGTTGGGGAGGTAGTTTGGGAAAATTTTACAAACTGAACCATACTAATTTTCTGTGCTGATTTGAACTTATATGAAATATAGGAATTTAAAGTATGGTATGACTTATGACTTATTGATAGATTTTTTGCCTTATGTTTATGCTTCTTTTTGAACTAGTATTGAGTTATCATGTATTGTAAGCCTGGATTAGTTAACTTGACTATGATATGAGTAATAGTAGTTGAATTCTATTCACCAATTTAAGTTTCTCATCTCTTTGACAATTGATTTGGTTGATAAGCATGCAAGATTTAAATATCAAATTACACAATCTCGTGAGATTTTGACCCCATATGAACTAGTCACTACACCTTGCTCCAATTGTTTCTTTTGAGTGATGTCCAACATGGTTTGACAACTCTAGAGCTTGTTTTGTTATGCATTTTGAGATCACACATATTGAATTCTTGCATTAATATGATGAGGGAACTTAGGATTAACCATTTTAAACTCTTAAAAAGCCAACCCAAAGAAAAAAACTGTGATCCACTAGTTAGCCAAGTTTGATCCTTAATCTCTTTCTCTTCTTTGATTGAACACCATGCACGTTTTTAACCTTAAACCATTTTCTCTTGATTTTCCTCCTTTTACCATATTAAAGGAATGTTTAGTTTGATCACATAAAACTAATCCTATTTTTTAGGGAATTGCAGTGTTTGAATTGAAGTATTTGGAACTGTAAAACTCTAATACAAAATAAATAAATAAATAAAGGAAATAAGGAAGTTCTGGACTGTACTGTTGCAAGTAGAATGCACGTGTACTCTCAAATAAAAAAATTCTCTAGATCATAGAGTGCATTGTTTAGAAAAAAAAAAAAGAGAAAAAAAGTCCATTATTCTTTTAGTTGAGAGTTTCAATCCCTGTTATTTGAAGCAATAACATGGTAATTCAGCTTTATATGATTGAGTTTTTCGTTCCCTTTGATACCTTCAGCCTAAATTTTCTTTTCATCATACCCTTACCTAAGCCCCATTTCACCTTGTTTAAAAACCTTCTAATTTTTGCATTGGTTCATGTATAGTGGTGGAGATTTGATTTATTAGCAAGCATATGGAGATATCTTACTATGCTGTGATATGAGGACTTCATAATATCCTAAATACTTGTTTATGATTTGAGTGACAACAATGAGAGGATATTTAATCATTATTGTGCTTAGATTTCTTTGAAAATTGTTGACTTGATGGGAAATTTAATTGGTGCATACATTTTATGCTATGAAAAGCTTATATCTTTGGTAGTTGATTTGATTCAGATTTATAATACATGATATTTTGAGAAAGTTTAGGAAGTAAATGGCAGAGATAGAGTCGATGAAATGGTTTATTTCTGTTGCTTGAGGACAAGCAAAGACTTAGTATGGGGGAATTTGATATAGTGCATAAATTATTTATTTATTATAATTATTCTCCCATGATTTATGAATGATTGGTGCTTAATTATCGAGAATTAATTATATAATGTCTATGAAGCAGGAAATTGTTGAGCTGGAGCTAAAATTGGATGTTTTGATAGCTATTTGTCATAAGTCAGAAAGTGAGGAGCTGTTGAATTCCTAATAAGACAAATTTGTTTTGAAGCGTGCCCATGCCTAATGTCGAAATTGTAATTCTGAAAGCTGAGCAGAATTCTTACGTATGGAAGTTGATAAGAAATAGGATCTTGCTTTTATCTTCTGTTATTGCCTTTATCTTATTAGACAATTTTGATATTTATCTGGAAGGAATACATATCCTATTGAGTGATTAGGACTTTTTAGAATTCCTTATAAGGTTTCCAACAACCAGAAGGAGGTTTTGGAGAGACGTGTTCTGGGTGAGAAATTCTGGACAGCGGGTTAATCTTCAAATCCAACATCTTCCTCAAAGAATGAGTGTTTAAATTCTCCTTCCAGTCGAAGGATATAGAGGTTTTTGGTTCAAAATTCATTGTGAAATCTTTATAATTTAATTATGTCTTTTCTGAAGAATATCAATTCTTTTCTCGTATTCATGAGATAAGTATTTCTCTTAATTGATTAGAAGATATTTTGATTAATTGAGATTGAGTACTTAATGCCAATCGAAGTGTTAAATTCTTATATGTTTAACTATTTCAATATCTACGGCAATTTAATATGATTAATGAATTGAATTGTTAATTCATGTTTAAGGGAATAATTGTTCCAGTTTAAATAACCAAGTTTGTGTGTTATTGATTGGAAATTCATCACCTTTCTATTTTCACCTACTATTATCAATTTAAATCTTAAGAGCTTGTTTAGGACTAATTGATTAATACGAGTTATGATTGAAGAGCTTATTTCAATTACCGATTATTAAGGAAAGGTTGGTTATTGAAACATGTTAATAATCAAAATCAATTTGTTCTCAAGAGAAGATTCATTCGTCCATCAATGAGCAATTGAATTGAACCATAATTAATATATTTCTTTCGACTAGACATTCATCCTTGCCAATTTTGCTTCTTTAATTTTTTGTTTTGATTTCTATTGCGGTAATATTATTTCACTTTTGTCAAACAACAACTCCCATTCTATTTTTATTGTCTTTTTGGATAAAATAAGTCGATAAATCTCTCGTAGCGATACGACTCTTCTCAACCAACATAGAAAATTCATTTTTAAGAGTAGATTAATTTATTTTGTTGGATTCGACACCCATCAAAGAACAAACAAGTTTTTTTTTTTTTTTTAATTAAACATACTCAAATTGGAAAGAATTGAGATTAACCAAAAAAAAAAAAAAAAGAACTTGGTTGGAAATTGAGCTACGATACCACCCGATGTGAACCCGCATAACTTGATGGCTAGAGAAACCACGAACAAGATGATTAAACCTCGAAAAAGCTAAATTAGATTTAAGAATGGTATGGATGCCATACTCTAGAATAGTTAAAAGATGAGTGACAAGTAGTTTTAACCCCACAAGAATCTATTAGATTCTTGATAAGTTCTAAATTAGTTCTTGGAAGAACCTATGTGTGAATTTCTCATAAAATAATTGTTTGATTAAAAAAAAAGTTATATATAAAAAAATTACAAAAAGTTTTGCCTAAGTAGGATGCTGAAAAATTCAGAATAACAAACAATTAATGTCTACCTAGGATCCAAGAAAACACCATGATTAGAAATATAATTAACATTAATTAAGTCTACCTTGAAGTTTGCAGCAACACTTTGAATTCAGCGGCCATAAATAAGGTTCAATAATTGATGCAAATCGACTTGAAAGTTGATGCAATTTTTGACTTTGAACTATATTAATTTGATAGTATTAGCAATGCTATTCTCGATTCAAAACTTCAAAATAGATTGATTAATTTCGAGTCAATGGAGATTGGACTTCAAGTCTAGTATGTCCCACCCAATGATTTGGATAAAATTCACCAAATGCATTTGATTGTTTTCTAGTCTTTTGATAATGAATTCAGCCCATCTCGCTTTAAATAAACCCATTCAAGACTTCATAAATCCTTTTAACCATCACTCTAGTGATTGGACTCTTTGGAATAGCTAATTATGTAAAAAAAAAAAAAAAAAAAAAAAAATTCTCAACTTGCCATTAGGTGTCGGAATCTTGTACACAAAAAAAAAAAAAGTAGCAAAGTACATTTACGGTTGGCAAAAATGTCCCATCAACCATGACTAGACGTGTGTATAAAAATAAAACTAGAAAAAAAATGGTTTCTTTTAGTAGATGCTTCTATATAAGCTTATTACAAGCACCAAGACATATGTCCCCGACTAGCATTGGTAATATTGATCCATGTGTCATCCTTATTCTCTCTCGTAGGCTTGACTCATCCGACCATCGGTGGATATTTTAGGGCGACCACAACAATGCGTACTTAATTATACTCGTATTAGAACACATGCCATTTGTTAAATAGTTAAACTAATAATAAATAATATATAAATTTGAGAAAGGATCACTCACTATAAGGCTTAAGTCTTTTAGATGAAATCCAATCTTAACTATTTAATTCTATATGATATCAAAGCCTTAAAGAGGTCTAACGGCTCGGTAAAGATCCTAGAGCTCCGACCACTTGACAAACTCCAAAAGATATACTACAAGTGAAAGGGAGTGTTAGAACACATATCCCATGTTGAATAATTAAACCTGTAATGAATAATTTATAAAGTTGAGAAGAGGCCATCACCATAAGGCTTAAGTCTTTTAGATGGAATCCAATCTCAAATATCTAACTCTATATGGTATTAGAGCCTTAAAGAGGCCTAACGACCCAACAAAGATCCTAAATCCCAAGCCACTTGACGAGATCCCAAAAGATAGACTACAAGTGAGGAGAAGAGTTAGAACACATACCTCATATTGAATAGTTAAACCAATAACAAATAATATATAAAGTTAAGAAGGGGCCACCCACCATAAGGCTTAATTCTTTTTTATGGAACCCAATCTCAATTATTTAATTCTATATGGTATTGGAGCCTTAAAAAGGCCTAACGACCCGATAAAGATCCTAGAGCCCAAGCCACTTGACGGACCACAAAAGATGAGTCTGCGAGTGAGGGGGAGTGTTATAACACATATCCCACATTGAATAATTAAACGTATAATGAATAATATATGAAGTTAAGAAAATGCCATTCACCATAAGACTTAAGTCTTTTGGATGGAACATAATCTCAACTATCTAACTCTATATATTGCATTTTGAAACTCAATAGTTCTTTCACGTTGGATGTGATTGAAAATTATCCAAGCTTCACCAACGAGTCATTTCCCACCTCCGGAGATGAGATAACCGGAAATGGAGTTAGTAATCCCAACTATTCATATGCTCCTTAGCATAA